GAGCCCAAGCATCTACTCGTGCCTCTAAGCAGTGCCCCACCGATGCTTAAAAGATCTTGAACTTGATCAAATCTCTTCAGAATATGCAGTAAACTTGAACTTGGGAAGGAGAGCACATAAAGTAATGTCGAAGTACTTGACTGATTTCCTCTACAAGTCACTGCGACCACGCCAGCTGGATGCCTCTCTAAGCCTGCAGACATGGTTACGGGGCCACCATAGCGGACAGCAACTCTTGGAAGCCTGCCTTCTCTTTTCTTCACAAACACAAATGTAAAATAATTAAGTGCCACTGTCTGTTCTGGTGGGAAAATCTCTCCCTGGATGCTCAGGAACAGTGATCAGATACCTCTAACCCTCTACTGGCCTGGGCTGCCATGTTTTGATTTGCCCTTTTTTTTAATCTACAGTATATATATGTGTATATGTGTGTATGTATGTGTGAATGCGTATATGTGTGTGTGTGTATGTATGTTACAGATGGACACAATACCTTTTATTTATTTATTTATTCCTATGTGGTGCTGAGAATCAAACCTAGCGCCTTCCTAAGTGCTAGGTGCTCCACACCTGAGCCCCAGCCCCAGCCCTTGATTTGCTTCTTAATAGCCTGGCGGTAAAGGTCTCCTCTCCTGGGAGAGCATCTGACTTAGTCCTTTGCTGTTTCCACATAACATTTCCCCCTCAATAAACACAAATTCAAGCCCAAAGGGGGAGAGTGATTTCACACCTGTCGAGGGGCTTTACCTACACTGAATCTTCCACCTGTCAACCCTCTATCTAGAAGCACCGTCAAATACCTGATAAAATAACAACCACAAAATAACCAGAAAAGCCCAGAAATATAGAAAAAAAAAATAATGAATTATGAAATGACTTGGAGGGAGAAAAAAAATCCACCTAGAACTCTACATTAGTCTTCCAGCTCTCCTGGTGAGGAAAGGCGGCAGCGACACCCGCAGAGCACCTGTGTGGCTCTGCCAGGCCCCTGCCCTCTGCAGACACGCGCCACCCGGCTCCTGCTCTACCGCCGCTTGGGCAGGATGAGGTTCCGCAGCATGTCGAAGGAGTTGCCGTCCGGGTGCACAGTCACCACCTCACCGCCCTCCTGATGAACCTGCAGGAACCCGGAGTCATCCAGGCCCACTATGGACACCTTCGGCCCCTCGGCACTTCCCAGGCGGACTTGTTGACCGCTGAAAAGGAAGCACAGCAGGTCACTGGGGGTGCAACCGGAGGCTGGCTGCGGACAAGTAGCAGAGTGTTTATCCCATTACACAAAGGTGGGCTCCCAGGTGACTGGTTAACTACTACTCAAACGACAGGGTGGTTGGTGGGTGGGACTCTCTTAAGCCACTGACACTCCTCCCAATTCTGATCACCCTGCTGACTCCCTCACCCCCTCCACCCCTCAAAGGCAACAGTGCCACTTCTCTGGGTTGTTAGGTTGAGACTTGGGGCAGGAAGGCTGAGTCAAAATAAAAGATTGGTCTTACAGAATAAAGCTGAACAACATCAATTACAAGAGAAATTAATTCTGATCTTGCTTTCTTTGAATATTTTCCAGATGTACCTGTTCATTACATCCTTGTTAACTGTTTTCAGAATGGAGAATTCCCTCATACCTTAATTTTAATTTTGTATCATTAAAATTTTTATTTACTTATTTATTTATTTACTAATTTATTTTTAATGGTGCTGGGGACCTTATATGCTGGGTAAGCTCTTTACCACTGAGTTTCATTTGTAGCCCCTCAAATTTTTATTTTGAGGAATTCCAAACCTATAAAAAAGTTGAAATAGTCCAACAAACCTCATCTCCCTTCATTTGTATTCATACCAAATAATAACATTTTCTGTATTTGCTTTCTCTCTTCTCACACACACAAACACATTTATTTTTTTCTGCATCATTGAAAATAAGTTTCAGGCATCATGATACTTCATGCTTAAATACTTTAACATATATCTCCTTCGAAGGAGAACAATCTCCTATAAAACCATATAACACCACGGTCACCCTGGAGAAATCCGGTCTTGATACACTAGTGATATCTAATGTACATTGTACATATTAGATACATGCTATCTCATATATGTGTAGCTAGTCTTTGTTCAGATTTCCCCATGTTCAATGGCTATCCTCTAAACACAACACGTTTACCTATCACGCCTCTTTAGTCTTCTTTAATCTCCAGCAAGTCTCGGCTTTCTCTTTGTTTGCCAGTTTGAAGACACTGCCTTCCCAAGGGTGGAGGCTGGTCATTACACCTCAGAGGTTCTCAAAGGTTAGCTGTAGGAGAGTCCCTGGAGCATCCATCCGCACACAGTGTGCAGCCAGGATTTAGTAGGTCCTGGCTGCGAATTTGCCTTTCTAACAAGTTGCCAGATGAGGCTGCCCCTGTTTCCTGGAGATCTCACTTTGAGAACCACTGTTCTAGAACATTCCACCACTTAGATGTATTTGATCATTTTCTCTCAGAACATAATAAACTGATTTTAAACACTTTCAACATTGTGTCCTCCCCTCACATCCTACGGGGAGATATGAGATGCCTGTGTTCCCACTCCTGGCAACGCTGAAACTTGGTCACAGTGGTGGTGCCCACTGGGATTCTCCATCATGAAAGTGAAAACTAATTACTCAGACCAGGATCCAGGGCCTTGTTTTAAGACACTATTTTAACCAAGGAATCTTAAAAGAATGGAGACAAATGAGCACTGACCTGTGTATCCAGTATTTGTAATAAAGGGGAAGAACACCATTGGGCCCTTTGTCCTGGAACGTGTGGATCAGTGTCTCCAGCACCGTCACTGTCCTGGCAATGAGGTAATCCGTTCGCAGGGGCTTCAGTGCTGCATTGTGTTGCTTATTGTATTCTGTGACAAGGTCATTGATGCAGATGGTAGGATTACTGTTTGTTACATTGAATCCACAGCCTGGGCAAAAATAAACAAATAATTGATAAAATGAGCAGTTCAACATGTTGATGGTATCACACATTCCTCTCCACCACCTGGAAAAAGTTAGTGGTTGTTTTGTGGTTGTTACTGCAGTGCTGGGGATCCACCCCAGGGCCTTGTCCCATGTCAGGCAAATGCCCTACCATGGAGCTGCATCCCAGCCCCACAAAAATTGTTTCACTTCCTTATTGTCATTTCATATCTACAGTCTCTGGCTACTTAGAGACTGATATATCTCTGAGACCATCTCCTTTTTATACTTCCTATATAAGTGAGGACCATCTCAACTTCACTAGAAAGAAGAAGTTGGGGGAAAAACTCACATCTTACTGAATTTAATTAAGCAGAAGCTATTATTGCAGCAGAACTTCGTGTTATTTCTGAAATAACGACTCTCATGTGGTCTAACTAGGACTTGTGCTCTGTATCCAGCCCAAAATGAAGTATCCATTTATTTTCCTATTTGAATAGAGAGAATACATGCTTGGAGAGAGAGAATTTTATTCAGGGCTTAAGGCGTAAACTCTGGATTCACAGATGTCAAATCTTTGCCACGAGACATCCCTAGAACACAACTAATATTTTATCCTCGGAAGCCTCCGGGGCTGAGGCTCTGCTGTTGGAAAGGAGCAAGTTCCTAGGTGTGGTGTTTGAATGCGCTCCTCTGTGCTTACTGCTCCCATCCTCTGGGGGAGGGGTGGTGACGTCAGAGGAGCCCAACCTCAGCCTGCAGCAGGTCCCTGAATCACCTAAGAGGTTTTCAATAAGAAAACAGGACTGCAAGAGCTAGGCCAAGGCCATTACACGGTCAGTGCCTCTAAGGAAAAAGTCCCCACAACATTTGCTTCAGGTGCAATGACACACCTACAGTGATAGGACTCTTCAGGAAATGTTTGGCCTTTATTAATGTAAAGGGATAGATGGGCTAGCCTCTGATTTTTAAAAGCATATTTCAGTTATTAAAACACAAAGCAATGTAAACTGCACTGGGGAAGAGAAACCAGTATTTATGGTAATGGGCAGGATCTGCAGCTGTGCCTTTGTCCACTCATCCAGCAACATATCTGAAGCACCTATTGAAAGCTGAGCATTAAACTGAGAGCGATCCAATGCTGAAAATCTCCCCTGCATTCAAAAACTTGAAAGTCCTAGGGAGATTAGTGACATGAACTACTGTCAACTTAGGCTCTGTCCTGCCAAGGACCAAAGAACACCCTGCTGACAACTCTGAATCTTTCCCTGGTTGAAGATTGCCCCTAGCCTCCAGTGGCCTTAAGAATCTAGTAAAAGCTACGGATTCATTCCCCCTGGTAGACAAAATTCTTTAGCTCCAAAACTAAATTAATTTCTTCAATTCCAAAGCCATCCCCAGGCCTCTTTGATATCTGTGAACAACGCTTGGAAATTTTTTGCATCTACCTCAATAATTCATTTAAAGATAGGCAACGGAGCTGTAAGCTATGAAGTAGCTTGCCCAGAATAATACCGCCAGTTGGTAGCAGAGCTGGAAACATAAGCCTTGTGTTCTTTGGCTGGCACTTCAACACATGGTCACATGTTTTCTGTCCATTACTGATTTCTGAACACCAATTAAATTCTACTGGGCATCAGGGGCATGTTGGCAGTTAGATGAACAGGGACCTAAGAACTTCTGGAAATGACTCTGAATCATTCTTCTTGCCTGATCTGAATATGCAGAGGTGAAACGGGGATTCCGGATCCCACCTTGACCAGCCTGCAACTGCTTTGAAAGGTTAAAAAGGCAACGCTTTCATGGCTGGAAAGGTCAAGGCTCTGTGGCACAAACCTGTAACCCCAGCAGCTTGAGAGGCTGAGGCAGGAGGATCACGAGTTCAAAGCCAGCCTCAGCAACTTAGTAAGTTGCTCTAAATAAAATACAAAATACAGCTGGGGATGTGGCTCAGTGGTTGAGTGCCCCTGAGTTCAATCCCTGGTACCCCCTCTCCAAAAAGAATGTAAGGTCAGTGGGAGAACTCTTAGAAATTAACCTTCTTATTACATAATGGCATATTGTTTATTTTCATTTCAAGTTCAATGATAAGCTGGAGGGTGTGAGGGATAAGACCACACCTTTTTGATGTGATACCATCTGGTGGTTTCCATGGCCTTAGACAGGAAGTTCTAAGCCCTGGAAGTGCTCTCGGCCACCTTGGTCCTCTCTGCACATTACCATGCTCTATGAGACCCAGAAAAGTTATCCCATTTGACACTCTGCTCTTCCCATTGTAGGCATGAGTGAGCTGTTTTAATTTTTGTTGTTTTATTAATCTAAAAACTGCAGATGGAAAGGCTTTAAAAACTTACCAATAAGTATGTAGAATGTTTCTCCCATAAGGGTTGAGTTAACCAGAACTCCTCCCATCTTCATAAGGTCACTGTAATAAATATCGTTGGGCCACTTCACTCGTAAGTTGATATCCTAAAGGAAAATCTGCACATTAATGAAGCAATCAAGGACACAGAGGG